TTTTTTTTTTTTTTTTTTTTTTTTTTTTTTTTTTTTTGAGGCAGGATCTCATTCTGTATCCCAGGCAAACTGTGAAATCATATACTTTCTTCTTTAGGCTCCTGAGTGCATGCATTAAAGGTATATACCAACATGCATTAAAGGTACATACCACCATGCCTCACTCTAACGAAGCAATTTATCACAGAAATTAGTGCATACATTCCAGTGAGCCCAACAATATTCAATAAACTATTACTTAAGTCCTTAAAAAATGGAGTATTGAAAATTGTTTTCCCATACTGCATATCTATGTATATTTCTGTATAGCAGTCCGTATGCACAAATACAATAAAATCAAGATTATTGAAGTTTTACCTTTTTAAAAATGACTGGTGATTCAAGTTCTACCCGTGGAGTTGAAAACAAAAAGAGATTTACATTATCAGTGGACTGATACATATGCCACTGTTACCATTTTATATATGCATATAAATATTTAATGATTTTAAGCTTTTTGCTTCAATAAACATTCAGGCAGTTCTTCAAATTTGTAATATTTTAACTTAATAAACTTTTCTTTCATTCTTATTTTATTTTTTATATTGTATTTATTATTTTTATATTATGTATGTGTATGTATTGCCTGCATGTAGGTAAGTGCACCGATGCCATGCAATGCCTGAAGAGAGTAGAAGTTATTGGATCCCTTGAAACTGGAGTTTCAGAGAGTTGTTAGGTGCCATGTGGGTGCTCTGATTGGAACCCACGTCTTCTGCAAGAACAGTCAGTGTTCTTAACTGCTGAGCCATCTCTCCAGCCCCCCTTTCTTTCCTATTTTAGAAGTTTCAACTGATGGTCTATTTTATTTTCCTAGGTAGACATACATAAAGGTTAATTTATGAAGTCACAAAAGTTCTATGATTGTTATGAAAATGCTTTTTAAAAAAATCAATCCATCTAAAATGAATTAACATTTAACCTTATACAAGATGATATCTTTTTACAAGGCTTGTATTAATTTTTAAGATTTTTTTTCATAGACAGGCCATGTACTCCTATGATGCTTGTTGTTTGATTGTTTATTTGATGTTAGTTTTAATTTAATTTGCTGATGAGATCTGCTGTCATTTAAACTTCTACATGGTGAAACATAGTACATATAAAAATATTCTACATATAGTCCTCTTGCTGATCTTTCTTATTCATTTTAATATTTTTCTCAATGGTTTATACTGGAGTCCTTAAAAGTCAAATTTCTATCTAAATATTGAAAGAAAATAATTTCTCTTCATTCAATTAAAATGAAGATTAAGTTTTTTTGAAATAATGAAAGTATAATCTGTTTTGTTTATTTTGGTAGAACTAGTAACAATTCAATTCTAAGTAGCTTTTCTCTTTAACAGGTGGCAGCAACTTTAAAATTATTTAACTTTAGATGACAACTGCATGTTCAGTTATTCACAATTATAAAAACCCCCTCAATGGGAGCTGACTTATGGGTGTTACTGTAATTATAGCCAAATATACATGGCTGAAGAGATTGTAGATCCTAGATGAAATCCTACCTCTGTCAAATGAAATTTCTTAACATATGCTAAATATGAACCCTTATATTTACAGACAAGTGTACAGTCAAAGTGTACATCAAAGAGGCTTCTTTTTGCAACAGATGAGGGATATTACAAAGTTCCACAGCTGGCACACACAGAGAATATACCTCTGGGAGATGCCCAGCCCTGTGTGACACATCTACAGTTGAACCCCTACACCTGAGGCTCATGGAACATAGTGGAACAAAATCAGTAAAGAGAAAACTGATGCATCCCTCTACTCTCATCAGTAAAGCTTCTTTATACAACAGAGTGCAATGTACACAGATGGCCGTAACTGGCTGAGTTTTAGGGAATAAGAGACTGAAGTGTGTGTCTCTAGACAGGACTCCTAGATTAAACTTCATCCACCCACAGCTCAGGGACCATTGTGGAAGAGGGGGTAGAAAGATTGTCAGAGCCAAAGTTGGTCCATGAATATAGGGAAACAGAGGCTCTCTGACCCCTGGAAGCTTGCTCATGTGAACTTTTGGCAATGGTGATGTCATGCTCAATACCTACACTACTCAATCAAATAAGGGCACAGTGTGAAGCAAGGGAAATGGCAGGTGAGCCCAGCCATAGCCTAGGAACTGTTGGTTAAGTGATTCCTGCTGGAGGATGGAGAATAGATCTTCTTTACGATCTCTAGAAAGGCTGACTAGATTCCAGTGGATGAACTTACATCAAAGGACATCTGGGCACAAATGTTTGACCAGATAGGTCTTAATATATATGACAGAATGCATGAGGTCCAGTGGGGGGATATGGGGGATATGAATGGAAGGAGGGGTGGTCTAAATTTGACTAAGAACTACTGTATAAAATGCATGAAAAGTAATAAAAATATTGGGGTTTTTTTTGGTTTTTGTTTTTTTGTTTTTGTTTTTTTGTTTTGTTTTGTTTTTTGTTTGTTTGTTTTTTTGTCTTTTTGAGACAGGATCTCCCTGTAGCCCCAGCTGTCCTGGAATTCACATTTTTTTTTTAATGAGAGGCTTATTTATTAAGTACTTTCTTTGCTATGAGCTCTCTAACAAGAAATGATACTTCTGTAGAATTAAAATATCATCAAGGCAATTATTAACTTTTATTAGCACATTCAAATTATGAGATGAACCACAGTTCAAGAGTGTTTACATTAGACATACCTTAAACTGCAGCATTTCATTTTTGTGATATTTTACTTCCACACGAAGAGTGGAGATGGGAGAAGATGGAAGGCTTATTTGAGCTCTAGTAGGATTCAATTGGAGGGTGGCTGTTATACCAGTTGGTAAATATTGAGTTGAAGTAACCAAATAAGGATTATATTCCCTTGGAAAGTAACATTCAGGTGCTCCACCAGATGTAACCTAAAGGTAATACATGTTCATTATCAGAAAGTGAAATCATTTGAAATTTTTTAAAACTGAATATGTTTAGTTAATGTTGCAAGACTCATGATACAAAATATCTATTATGCATTTTATACATGTTCCAAATTGTTATATAATATATAACATATTGAATCTAAAGTTAGAACAGTAGAGAACAAAGATCAAATATCTATTTTAAGTATGAAGTTATAAAATTAAATTTCAGTACCAAGTAATTCAATCAAAGTTTGTCACTTGTGCAGAAATTATGTCATTCATAAGTTCTAATCTATACTTGTTTTTGTGCCTCACAATCTTGCTGTTTTATTTTTGTAAACATGTGTAAGACCCCACAAAGAGCACATGCTTAGTTCCTTTTCTTCCATTTATGATGGCAAGTTTTTACAGTGACTGATTACATGCCAAACAGTAATGAAAACAGGTACCCTGAGCAAAATTGACTAGCTTAACCCACACTGGAAGAGAACACGGAGGACAATTGGCAAACTGTGGTCTTGAGAGCTGCATAACTTCCCACAACGCTTTCTCCCAATCTCCCATATTGATTACGCTTTCTTAAGAAGCAGTACACTCATTCACAGCCATGTCATGGTCTCTTTTTCTGCAAAACAAAAAGCTCCTTGAGAGAAGTGGGTATAACCTGACTACATTGAGATGGCCTTTCCCTTTCCGTCTTCCTTGGTATGCCTAGCATGCATATGTCAAAAGCCAGGGTGAACTCTGAAGACAAAAACCATATGGTAAATGAGGAAGAGCCCAAGGTACTGATAACATTAAAGTACCAGCATATCAAGATCAGAATTTATAAGAGAAAAGTAAATCCTGTCTTCATTAATCAACTGTTTCCATGCGCCCAAAGTCTCAATTTAAAGCACTCCTTCTCATATGAGTACTGTGATACTCAGTTCAAATGCAGTTTATGAAATGGGTATCAAGAATCAAGACAATGCCAACCTTAGCGAGTTGCAAAGTCTGACTATGACCTTTTCATAGCTGTTTTTCTTATTATCATTATAGCTTTCTTATTGATAATTACCATCACAATTGTATTTTTTCCTAATTAGAGTGAGAATAGTATACATTTATTAATTTAGGGAAACAGTTTTAAAACCTAAATTTTAAATATTTAATAGAAAAAAATTAAAATATTCGTGTTTCCTTATTAAATAAATAAGAAATTACTTATTGAATAAATCTAAAATGTATCACTGAGCAGTGTTTCTAGTCAATGCATAAAGCTGTTTTTGTGGCTATATACCTATACATTTCAGAAGCAGAGAAGTTGCTAATGTATGAAAACAGGCCGTTCTAAGGCATTAAACCTTTAAAAATCATGTGGTTGCCATCAGCTTAAATACAAACATGAAAATGGTGACCAAAAAGGAATAGGAAGATTCAGCAAAGTTCATCAAATTCCTAAGGAAGATCTGCTTTTCCTGAGATAATCAATAGTTTGTGAAGTATTGGTCATTTCTTTCTATATTAAGCTTTTTGAAGGCATATTATGTGTGATTCCTTATCAGAATACATAAATTATTTTGTGCACAGAGTGAACAAGACCCAAGTATCTCTGTGATTTCTTCCGTATTTGTATCCATTTCTTCTCTTCGGTTCCTTCCTCATAAAGTTCATCAAGTTTATATCATTTCCCCATCACTAAGTTGACTTTTCTGCACATAGCTCAATGACCCTTTGCTCGGATTTTTTAAATTTTAATTTGTATTTTATGAGTGAGTGTTTTGCCTACTTGTATGTAAGTGCATCCCATGCATGCAATGCCCAAGAAGGCAAGAAGATTACATTAGATCTGCTGAAACCTGAGTTACAGAAGTTGTAAGCTGCTGTGCGATCACTGGGAATGGAGCCAGGGTCCTCCACAAGAACAGCAAATGCTTTTAACCACTGAGTCATTTCTCCAGTTCTCCCTTCACTAGGATTCTTAAACAGTAATAAAACTCCAATCCTGGGAAAGTATTTACAGTCTGCTGTTGCAATACAGGTAAGTGCGGCTCAGGAAGAGCACCATGCCGAGTGTTCACCCTTTTCTATGACAAAAGACATGGTGCATCCCTAATGATGCAGCCATACTCTGTTTCTCTAGTTTCTTTATCAGTCTGTCCTGCGTGATAACTTGCCTTCTCCATGCCCACCAAGTACTTCTTTATTTTCAACATCACCTCATGGTTTTACTTATTGTAGGAATATGAAAAAGGAGAGCAATCAAACAAAAATTAGGTGTAGACACCATATCCTCCCACTTCTTTACCTTCTGATAAATGACATGTACTTTTTGGCTTAAAGAGAAACATTTTGTCAGTATGTCCAGTGCTCACATGCCTGGAGATATCTCTCCTTCGATTTCAGTCTCTACTACATTGCTGATGTTACCGTCACATCAGTTGTCAGTTACATGATTGGCTGATTATACTCTTCCCATCTTGAAGGAAAAATAAAAGAAGCTTCCACTGTATTAACTTTCCTCTCTGCTGCTCCATTTTTAATTTTCTTTACAGAAGAACATGTAGATTATAAAATCTTACAATCTCCACTTGCCTCTTCATTTTCATTTTCTCTCAAATCAACCATGTGCCCTATCAAGATTTCTTTGTAAATCTTTTCAAAACGTCCATGTTATCAGTTCCAAAAGTCAGTTTTCAATCTTCATATCAGAGATTCATAAGCATAACTTGAATAGTATATCATTTTATGTCTTAAATTGTTTTTCACACAGCTTCAAAGAGCCATTTTTTTCATTACTTTTATTATTCTTTCTTGGTTTACTTTTTAAATTTTCCCATAATTTCCAGATAGAATATTGTAGGAACTCAGGATTTAGTCTTTGAATAGTTTTTTCACTTTCTACTCCAGTTTATTTCCTGAGGTCCCACCACATGGCTTTAAACACTGACTGTATGCTGACATGTGACATTAAATTCTCCATTAAACCCATGTTACAACTTGACAGGTATACTCCCATTTCTCCTGGAAATCTCAGTCTCAGGTTTTCTGCTCCCCAATCATATGAATTTCTCAGTCTCCACTTATACCAACTCATCTGTTCTCAATGTTTACTCTTGACTCTGCCTCTTATACTCCACATTCAATGAGAGAACAAAGCTTCTTGACTTTATGTTAAAAAATATGCATAAGATCAATCACTGATTAAATCCATCATTACTGCACTGAACTAAGTCAACATTCAAATGTAGCCTGTACCAGCACAGCCTCTTGCCTCGTCTTCCTGCCTTGGCTCTGTAAAAGTTTGTTTTCAACTCAGCAGTCATTTCGGGGCCATTAAAGTCTAAATGCAGTCTTGTCATTTGTTTATATCCGTACCAACCTCCCACATACTAAGACTCTTAAAATGGGCCTCTTTATTGATCTACATCATCTATATCCATATTGCTACGCACCGTTTCCTGATATTTCTCCATCATCAGCTCTGTGTCAGATATACTGGCCCTGTTGCCGTATGCGCACTGTGGACGGTACATTGTTGCCCCATTCACGCTTTATCAGAAATATTATTCTATCCCTATGCTTCACCGTTTTTTTTTTTTTTTTTTACTTTTTGTCTTTTCTGTGTTTTCCTTTATTTATTTTATTTTATTTTTTTTAACAGATTTCACCTTCTCACACAAACTTTCCTGGTGCTGTTCCTGGTGCTCCCTCCATTTCCTTTTCTTTCTTTCTCTTGACCGTGTTCCTCAAACGCAGCACAGATTTCCCTCTTTATTTTTCCCGCCTTAGAATATAAACTCTCAGTAATGGGAGGGGCGGATGTTTATTTTGTTTAGAGTGCTGACCTGACAGTATATCGCCACAATAATTTTTTAATGAAAGAGTGGGGCTTAAAGAAACCCAAGGAATTATTTCTGTGCTACAATTCACTAAATGCAATGGTCTTCTGTGGCTGGTCTTTCAGTGTCAAAATCTCAGTTTACTGGTGGAACAGACTTGCATGCCCCATGCTTGTGAGGCTGAGGAAGAAGGATAATGTGTTTGAGGCCAACTTGGGCTCCTTGATTAGACCCTGTCTCAAGATTTAAAAACAAAATTGAAACCATAAGGTGGTAAACCACTACTAGTTCTGGGAAAGTGCATTTTTTTCACATCTCCATGTGTAGAAGTTTTTAATTCTGAAATCACTGTTTATCATTTATGCTTTTCATTTAGATTTTGATTGCACTTTTAAGAATAAAATTCAGGAGAAATGAGTACCAAATAGCACTTCAAGTTCTAGCTCTCACTGACTAATCCTCGCGTGTTTGTTCTTTAATTCAGCTCATCCCAATCATTCTTAATAGTTTTATTACATGAAAAGGAACAGGAGGGAATTTTTTGAAGCAGAAAGTCTATGTCTTATTTTATATAAAGGAATATTCCTGGAAAGCCGATGGCGAATATGTTTTTAGTTCAGCAGTATAACACACAAATTCAATTTTGTGATTAAGTGTAGTAAGTGCTGTCTGCTGAAAAAAAAAAAAAAACTCAAAGCAAGAACCAAAGCCTCACTAGTGAATTACAAAGACAAAAAGATTCCCATTTTTGCTGTCTGCTAAAAAAAAAAAAAAAACTCAGAGATAGAACCAAAGACTCCTAAGTGAATTACCAAGACAAGAAGTTTCCCATTTCTTTCCTCTAATTCTGCTGCAATCACTTACCGCCCACAGCTATTGCTCTTCTGTTGAAAAGGGTCAAAATAACTAAAGAAGAACAATTATTCCTCAGTGGAGCAGATACAAGTTACTACTCAACTTCTTAAGTTTTCATAGGTCAAACAATTGTTTTTAAAATGCTTTTTACTAGTGACAAAATATCTTGCCCAATTTAGTCAGTCACTTACACTCAATCAGTATCTAATACAGTACAACACAACACTATTTCAACCACAATTCCACCTTTAGTTCTGAATGAAGAGCAACTTATACTAGTCCATCTACTCTTGGTATCTGCTAAGTTATATCTTTGAAGAATTTATTAATCTAAAGGTGGACTATCTATTAGAGTTGTTCATTTCAAATGGTAAATGATTCATATACGAATATAATTTATATATTGCTGATTAAAATTGTGATATATGAAGTTCTTATGAAAATGCTTATATGAAAATCACGTCTTGATTCATAATAAAATTTCTCTTACTTCTTGCCACGTACAGCCACGTTGGGCGCACTGTTCTTTGTTTGCTTCGTAGAAATCTGGGTAACAATTGAATTTCTCATTTTCTGAGAAACTTTGTGTCCATGCTACATTAAAGCTTTTTCCAAGATTGAAGTTGAGATCTGTAATTAAGAGAACCTTTGAAAATAAAACATTAATTATTAGTTCTTTGATGTGACCCTGGGTAAATTTAAAATTTTCCAAAAAAATTTTTAAAGCATGACCAATACAGTAAGTTCTCAAAATGAGTAATACTTTTGGTCTAGTTCTTGAAGAGTAAAGAATAGTAAAGGGAAAACTATTAGTCAGTTAATTATTTAGAACTCTAAAATGAGACAGCTATGAGAGACCATAGCACATGGTGAAAACTGTTATCTTAAATTCCAGACTTGAGTTCATTTCTCAGTTCTACTATTTAGTGTTTATGAATCTTTGGAGAAAAATTGTGCTGCACCTGAAATATTCTGTGATTCTCTCTTCTCTCTCTCTCTCTCTCTCTCTCTCTCTCTCTCTGTCTGTCTCTCTCTCTCTCCTCTCTCCTCTCTCTCCTCTGTGTGTATGTGTGTGTGTCTATCTGCTGCATATGCCTTAAGAAATATGCAAAGCAATCATGCATTCTGTCTGTTACAGAAGGTTCTATAATCAGAGGAAATTAACATTATTTCTTTACTACGCTTTTCCTTTGAATCCACTAACATATTATTGTATGAGGAACAACTTGAAATAAGGCAATGCAGCATTATGCCAGAAAGAAAGGAATGGCATGAGAAATGGAGAGGAGAGGGGAGGATGAAGGAGGAGTCCATGACAAAAAAGAATTTAAAATACCCAGTGTCTCTGGGCTGGAGAGATGACTTGGGATTTAAGGGCACTTGCTGCTTTTGCAGCTAACAACGACCTAGAATTCTGCTTCCAGGTGATCCAACACTCTATTCTGGTCTCCACAAGCACTCATACAGTGAGCATACATACGTTCAGGCCTTCACATATGCACATTAAAATAAAATAATTAAATCTTATTATTTAAAAAGTCAAATGCCTGAATGCATATAGCATGGAAAATAAACAAAAATATGGCAGATCCAATATTTTAAATGATTCATTTTACCTGACTGGAGGGATCATAAGTGAAATTATTATGAGGAGACATTTGCTGATTATTTTCTCCTGTGGTAACTTCTGTAACACTTTCTGTCAGCCCAAGGACTTTGATAGTTTTAAAGGCTAATGTGGTGCCATCCGGATATGATGAATGTGTGCACGTTGCAACCAAGCTATTCTGGGGAAAACAGTGCATAATGTTAGATGTGAAGTCCACTAATACTACCCTGATAGACCAATAGAAATAAAGAAAAAGGAAATACTGAGTAATCAAAGCCCAAATTCACTGGTTCTTCCACTGCAAATAATTCACTATTTTTGCACATATGCCATAAAACTTTATTTTTAGAAATAAGCTCACAAGGATTTAGGAGTCCTGTCATATATAATCTTGCTTATTTTAGAATTC